TGTTTGTTTGTTTTTCTGTCTCCCCAGTCTGCCACCGTAAATTGTGAGATACCGTCCATAATTTCCCCTCCCATGCCAAGTTTGTTCCCTTTTGCTGATACAGCTGCCTGGAAATCCGCGATCCTTTGGCGATCCGTGTGCTCAGCCTGATGGCCTCCGGTCCTGCTGATGTCCAACAGGGATGCTGCCAGGGGCAGGGTGAAGCAGGGATGGGGACAGGACTTAAAGACTTTTTTTTTTCCCAATTTCAGAAGATCTTCAGATAAATATCTTATATTTGAAATAGATGTATCACAACAAAATAAATTGATCTGCAGATAGCGCTACTGCTACAGCAAGAAGCGAATGAAACAGGACGCAAAGCCTCTTGGCTGCTTCTGTGCCCAAACTTTTTGTGTGCTGCTGTATTCCTGGTAATAGATGTGGATGGGAGGTGCCAAAGCTTTCTTCTCTTCTCTGGCATCTCAGCAACATTTGGCTGTTCACAAGCAACGTGCGTCTTGGAGGATCGGTGTTGGGTGGTCAATGGGGGAAGGCACGGCAGCGTTAGATCTCAGTCCTCTGGTTTGGTTTGTTGGTGCTAAATTCCCTCGTGCTACCAAAAACTGTAGCTGAGTTGCTTCGACAGAGAAGCCTGGGTAGGCTTGGCTGGAAGCTGAGCTGCCGTCCATGCCGAGCAGAAGGTCCCTTGCTGGTTGATTGGTCTCCAGATTTTATGGCTGGTTGTTTTCTTTGAGCCGTGTTTACGGCCATAACATCGGAGCCCAATTCTAAAATAAGCTCTGATGGGCCAACATGTGGCTGTCTTGAATTTAGGGAGACTTACTGGTACCTGGGGTTTGGCTGCTTGGAATTGGGAAGTTCAAAAGACTGACCAAGCAGTTGGTTGAATCCATAAACTTGTGTTTTCTGCAACATGTTTTCCTCTAAAAATTGCCCTAGCTATTTATTTTCTTATGCTTTTTACAACTTAAATTTTTTCTGCCTGAAAAGACTTGTGTTAGGTTTGTTAGTAAAATGCTCTGAAAATAACCAGATTTATTTGTGGCTGGAATGGACGATTTTATGTAGAAGCTTTGCAGAGTTGAGAGAAGTTTGGGTTTGGCTCTGGTGGCTGCAGAAGGAAGCCCTGATGGAGCCCTGGGACCTGAACCTGTGACTCAATAACATCCCGGGGAGTGAAAAGGAAATGCATTAAAAGCATCCAGGTTCAGTTTTAATACCTATGTAGTGCTCCTGCTTCCTTAGAGGGGCTAGTGCCCTCGAGAGCAAACAGGGAAAGCGGAGTGGATGCTACTCTTGAAGGGACAGCAGTTTCCCTCCCTGTGCTGCCTGCATCAGCACGCTCGGGAGCAGGCAGAGCATCTGCTTAGAGAGGTGGGTCGGCACGTCCTCCCCAAAATCGGGAGTTGGACGCAATCTAAAATAACCTTGTTACTGCTCTGAAGTGTCCCACGTGGGACACCCCCTCTCTCTGGGGATTTTGCACTTCTTTTTCTTCCTAGGATACGGTCTGTTCCCTTCCAAACTGAGAACTGCTGATGGAAGGTCTCTTGTGTAAATCTTGGAGTAGAAAATATGAAGTTTTCACTGATTTCATTTTGAGCAAGTAGTTTCTTCAAACAGCATTAAGTGGGGTCTGCCATTTGCTGACAGTGCATCCTTTGGAGCTGTTTCGCTTGCATTCGTTAAGCTGGACACGCGCACTAATATATGTCCATGCCCTTGTGAATTAAGCTTGTTCTGCGTGTCCCCACCAGCTATCGGTACATGTGCTGTTATTGCTGCACGCTCTGTCTCAAACAAAATGACTTAAAGTTCACGTCCTGTCCTGCATTAGCGGCTTGGTAGGGATCTGGAAATGGAAATACGAGTGATGTGTAGCTCACATGAGGTAGTGTTTCTCTTATAAGCTGTAATTTATACTTGAAAGTATAAAAATTAATCACAGCTATTAATAACTTTCTGAATTATGAAACTCTCTATATATTAGCAGATGATCCAGGCAAGAAAGTGCAGGACAAAGCTATATGTGCTGTGCTATAATGGTACCCTATAAATTGTGCAAGGTGTTCCAGTAAGACCTTATAATATGTACATATTAAAAATGCTGTTGAGACTCTCTTTTAATAAATCCAGGTAATAAAGCTAGAAAAAGATACGGCTGGAAAGCTGTATACTCTTCCCTGCAACTCATTTTACATTTCACTGCTTTCCAAAAAATTATCACAGTCTGCATTTAAGCTGATGTCCCTTGTTATATTAATTTGAAATGTTTTATTTTGTTTATAGACCAAAATAGTGGATGAAAAGAAAAATGTGAACGAACAAGAATTTAACTTCGAAAAAGTAAGTCAGCAGGACCTATCTAACCTCACTATTGTAGCGTGCAGGTATGTGTATTTATATCCTTGGGAAAGCTAGGGTGGGACTGATGGGGAAACACTTCCAGAAAAGGTTCTCTCTTGTAGGTGAGGATTTCCTAACAGGTAATTTTGGCTGCATGCCATGCCAGAGGAGGAGCACGCTGGCTGGTATCAACTGCTCTGTGTGAAGAGAGGTGTGTTACAACTCTGGGGCCTTTCTTTCTCATCTTTCAATGAGAATTTGAGGAGGATCGCTGTACGTTAGCTGTGTAAAGCTACACGAGTACCCATGTTTAGCATAGCTCTTTCAGGCCCGTGGTGTTAATCGTGGTTTTCTGATCTCATGTGGGAGGGGAAAAAAAAAAGTGTATTGGCATCTGTTTTTGAAACAGCAGATGCCTTTTTTCTATGTGTCTTTTTATTCTCATCTGTTCTTATGTGGCCATAACTAGCACTGGCCTTCTTAGATACTGGTTCGTTTGTAGATCTGTGCAAGTTGTTCTGTACGCCTGATCTCTGCTCTGTGCTGTGATCTGGTGAAATCTCTCACTGGAGATTCTGCGTGGAGCTCCCTACTGCTGAGAACAGTGGGGATTTAACCACTGAGTTTAAAAAAAATTATGAATTCACCACTGGTTTTGCCAGGGTATTTTTGCAGAAAGTCAGCTATACGTATGTGTGTAGTCAGACCACTTCACCATCTGCCCGTCCGTGTTTCTCACTGGTTAAGCACTCTGCAGCCAAGGAATGAGGACACTCTGCAAACGTTGGGTGCTGTGGTAGCACATTTCATTGTTCTTCTTCGTGCAGCACAACATCATTCATTTTTATATGGAGGAAATCCATTCCATGTGTTGTTTTATGTGAAATGAGGAAAATTGAAAATTGTCCCCCTGGTAGTCCTCACCATCCAGAGGTTAGCTGGACGGTGGTTAACTGTTCTGCAGTATAGCTCCAAACTGTTAGTTGTATTTTATAGCATGCTGATTTCGGGTATTAGCCAGGGTTTCTTTGGGAGTATGACTTCGTTGTGGTCTGTCAAGTGTTATTTTACAACAGGTTGGACAAATTATGAAATGCTTGCGATATTCTGTAATGTTCTAGGCTCGTCTGGAAGTGCACAAGTTTGGAATCACTGGCTACAAGAAGCAGGAACAACGCGTCTGGGAACAGGAGCGTGCTATCATGCTGGGAGCCAAGGTAATTATCGCTTGGTTTGTGCCAGGCAGACACCCTGCTGTTATAGTGCAGGAAAGCAGTAAAAAACACTGGGAGAGTTTGGCACTACTTTTTTGAAACACAAGATCCCCTGCCCTGACCCTTCTCCCGCTTCATCCTTACTTTTACATTTTCGATTCTGTCTTGTCTGTTTTCTGTAGACGTTTGGAGAATTAGTATGGTTGTGTTATCACAGGTGTTGTATAGATGAAATACGACTGATTGGGGTGGAAAATAACATTTGCTAACTTTTAATCAGGCCATTCAAAACAAAATTGTTGGAGGGAGGGGCTTGCTTTTTAAAGCTTCACTCAGTGAGTTAATGATCGAGAAAACTTTTCAGTTTTATTTATCATCAGTAGTGTAAAAAAGTCTTTTTTGGGGGTGGGGAGGGGTATGGGTTTTCTTTGTAGCTCAGTGTGTATGTGGAAACCTTGTAGGACTGATAACGTCAGCATAAACGTCCCTCTCTACTGTCTCCACCAAGACAGATACGGTTTCTGTGTGTCTACCTTACATCCCTTAAGTCGCTTCCTCTCACCCCAACCTGTTTCTAATGTTTCACCACCACCACCTGAAAAATACTGTCCGTGCAATTGTGTGAATATTTTTTTTTTTGAACCTATTTGAAAATTCAGTCAGTGGTATCTGTCCCAATCTTTATTGCAGCCCCCCAAAAAGGAACATGTGAGCTACAAGACTTACCAAGAAAAAATGAAAGAGAAAAAAACAGCAAAGGATGATGACAAGGGAAAGGTTTGTGTGAAATGTTCTGTATAAAAAGGCAGCATGTGAGAGCTAGCCCAAGACTGCCCCAGCTTGAAACCCGCTGCTCCCCATGGGGTGGATTCCTGGCTCCCGCAGGACTAATCTCATCAGTAAAAGCAGGTCATGTGCAGTATGAAGGGCACAGAGTTAGGCTTGTGGTGTTGTGGGTTTCACTGCCTCATGCTTTGAGGCTGATAGACTGATGACACAAAATCAGAAGTGTTGATATTTATTTTTTTTTTCCCCTTGCCTCTTAAGGGAAAAAAAAATGGCCTTCAATTAAAGTTTGTTGCATGTTGTCTAACTACAGAAAGCCAGATCTTCAGCTGGTTTTATATCAGCACGATTCCATCTAGGACTTTGCTCATTACTTAAAGCAAGGGTGAGGTTTCTGTTGCATCCATCTTTTAGCACGACCCATCTGGCTCCGAGCCTACGCCCTGTCTCCCCACGGAGTTTTCTCACGTAGGTGGGAGCAGGCTGCGAGGCGGGTAATTGCTCTATCAGCCTTTTTCCTGCCACCCTCTTTCCTGCGGAACCTACCTCTCCTCCTCCGTCATGTGGCTCAAAGCGCATCCAGTGCATGACGAGACAGGGTTGAACCCTATTATTTGAGAGGTACGTTCCATCAGGCGACTAGGCACACCTCCCTGGTAGCAAATCCATCTTTTAACCCAAGGAACCATCACATGCCCAAGAAGCAAGTCTCTCTCGTCGTGCGGCTGGATTTCTGCCTCCTCACGTGGCAGGGCCAGCACGTTGGTCATGAGAGGGCTGTACTTTCCGTAGGGTGAGAGGAAGGGCTCCGGGCACTCCCAGCAGTGCCTCCGTAACACGTTCCATCACTTGGCCTGTCCGAAGGTCTCCCAACCTCCTTTAAATGCCTGCTGCTCCATGAAGCAAAAGCTACCACATGTTTTGTGTGCAGATGGTTGTTTAGCCAAGATGCTCTGTTCCCTTTCCATTAAAATATGTATCTTTAAAAACAGGAACATAAAGGTGATTCTCTTAAGAAGAAGAAGAAAGAAAAAAAGGAGAGGTGAGCTGTTTTTAACATGGTTAAAATTAACTGGCTTTTATATGGCCTCCCCAGTGTATCTCCCCTGTCTAACTGTGCACAGCCTTGTACCAGAAGTCATGCAGATCACGGTGGAAGGAACTTCTCCAGCTGCAGAAGAACTCAGTCGCAAAATGGCAACGTTGCTCTGTGTCTAGCAGTTTCAGAGGCTTTAGTTATGCAACTTAACTGAAAATGTTAGTTCTATCCCGACATGTCTACGGCTGCAGCTGGAGGTGGGATGGATGGAAATCCCCCTGTGCAGACCCAGGATATGCCACTTACTCAGAGCATTTGCCCTGAGAAATAATTTCTGCAGAACACAAACTACAGTATACAGAGGCTTGAAAAGTGAAGTGGCACTCTTAATCATAGCGCAGCAGGTTCACTGAAGTATACTCTTTATCTTCTTTTTCTATCCAAAAGTCTTTGTGTTTCTAAACTTTTTAAAAATGGAAATCATTCGGTAATGTGCTCCAAATTTTGAATGGCTGTGCAGGTAATAAATGTTCTGGGGTCATTACTTGCTATGATTTGATACTGCATAATACCAAACACAGACTGCATAAATAGATGACATTTTTCACCATATTAAGCATTTTCATGAGTTTCTGTTGTTTCTCTTAATTCTTTTTTTTGCTTTTCCTATTTCAGGAAGGCCAAAAGGAAGAAATCAGTGCCTAGCATTTGGCCTGCCGGACAAGTTGGAAAATTCAGAGATGGGACCTTGATTCTGCAAAGCTATGACATAAAGAAAATTAAATCATCTAAAGTTATCAAATGAACTTAAGACAATGGACAATATGCATAAGATAGAATTCACGTTGCTACCAACACAGACTTACGGAGCCTCTTGCTTTCCCACCATATCCTAATTTTTTTTTACCTTATTTGTTGTTGCAGGATTTTCTATATTCCATTCTGCCTTAGGTAGAATAAGAGAATTTACCACTTTATAAATAAAAATAAGACTTGTTATTAAGAATGTTACATGGGCTATTTTTATAAGTCAATACGTGCTAAAGCAAGCATTTCACTTTCTAGAATCAGCTTATTGGCTGTAAGTAAAATATTCATTTAATCCATTAATTAATGGATTGAAACATATAGCACTTCGCTTTCATCTGGAAGGAATATACAAAAAGCAATACCTTACTTGCTCTGAACCTGAAGTAGGTATTCTCCAACACTTATCAGGCATACATCTGTTCCTGTATCTTTATGAATTGTTAGTGGATAGTGGAACTGCACAACAGTTTTCCTGTCCGGCAAAACCTCTTAAGGTTTCAAAATTATCTGCTTTGGAAAGAAAGTAAGATTTTCTGAAGTTCTGTCCCAGGTAGGAGTTACAGACTCAACTTGTGTATCTCTGCGTAGATCTCCAAATAAGCACTGTTTCAAATGGTGGTTTGGTGGCTTGTTTGGTTTGTTTTTAAAAACAAAACCATGTAAGACTGAGCCAAATGAGGCATAAACTGGTTGTTCACGGTTAACTCATGTTTGTTTTGATCAAGTGTTCCCATGTCTCATAAGGATTTGCTATGAAATCTTTGTCAAAACTGAAGTTTTAGTGCTATTTGGTGTTTCTGAAAGAACAGTTTTGTACTCTAATTTGGTTTTAAACTAAATATTTTTTAGCTTAAAAATTTATTTTAAAAAATTTAAATATTTTTTTGTTTTTAAGGTTGTGTTTCCATTAGAAATGGCAATGGTTAGTAACCTTCCAAAATGTCCTCTCCGTTCTACCTCAAGCTAAAGAAACTTGACTATTTTAGGGGGAGGCAAAAATAAGGTTAACTGTTAAATGACAGAGGAAAAAGTTCACGCTCTGTTGTGTATATGTAAGGTTATCTGGAGCTTGTTTGAACAGCTCTGGCAGTGAAGCAGGTGTATATGAGAAGAAAAAGAGCCCTTAGTGGAGAAACAACTTCTAGGTGTATTGGTGAAATTCGGTGTACCCCTGTGGGACGGAGAATTGGAGCAGGTTTCCTGGCTGCCACCTGAGAGCCTGAGCAAGGTGATAGAATCATAGAATCGTTATGGTTGGAAGAGCCCTCAAAGATCATCAAGTCCAACCTTCTACTGAACACCACCATGCCCGCTAAACCATGTCTTGAAGTGCCACATCTAAACGTTTTTGGAACACCTCCAGGGATGGTGACTCCACCACCTCCCTGGGGAGCCCGTTCCAATGCCTAATGACTCTTACAGCGAAGAAGTTCTTCCTAACGTCCAACCTGAACCTCCCCATGTCTAAGCCTGAGCGAGCAGCGAGGTCTACGTCAGCTAGCAGCGAGAACAGCAGCACGGTGCTCTCCCCAGACAGCGGAGCCTGCCCCCTTCACGGGGTAGGGAAGCGTTCTGGGGTAGGCAGAGCCACATCACAGAAAGGGATGCTTGTGCGCTCCTTCCCCCGCGCCTTCCACCTTACTTTCAGGTCCTGGAGAAATGTCCTGCCAGCACAGAGAGGACCTGGAGGGAACGAGAGCTGGGTAAAAAGCACAAGGGAGTGTTTCTGGAGCCATGTGGGAAGAGGAGGGGTGTGTGGAGCTGGGTTGCTAAACACTGTTAGCACATTGCCTAATTGTGTAATTCGGTTTCCTCTTATTCAGTATTGGTTGCAGATTCAGACCAGAATTAACAATTCTATCTGGTGACAGACTTGGAGAAATGTCAAGTCACGACTGCGTGTGAAGGTGTAATCACTAAGCAGAACTGAGTACAGAGCACCGAGACTTGTTGAGGCAACAGATGGGCTTTGGATGTTGTGGGATAACCTGTATTTTTTTTTTAAGCCCTGGTTAATCCTTGAGCTTGATTTTTCACTGCTCACTTCTACATAAAGTTGTGTTCAGCTGGCTTTGGGTGTAATGTGTTGTGGGAGTTTGTGTCCTCAATCAGCTTTGGTAATTTAAAGGGTTCGCTTTCCACCTCCACAGCTCCCAAAAGCTAAAACTTGGGTTAGAATGAACTGTCTAATTTTTGCAGTCCTTTCTAAGCTCTGTTAAAGAAGAGTTGAAAAAAATTCAGTTCTTAAGAGTTGAAAACTGAAATGCCAAGATGACAGTGGAACATGAAAGCTTGGGGGGGGGGGGGGTGGGGGAAACAAAACCAAAAATAAAAGCTTATTCAAAATCTTGCATTTTCTCACTCGTTTAACATTGGTGTGTATGCATTATGAAAGGTTTCTGTTACATGGTGATAGGTGGCTTTTTTATATCAAATCTGCAAGGTGATTTGAGCTGGCCATGCTACATGCTTGTGGGATGCTGTTGTCAGGTAAACATGGTACCTTCTGTCCTGTTTTGTTACTAGATGCATTAACAAAAATGATAACCACTGACATTTGGCAAACAAAACTGTTGAGAACCTGTTATGCACCTCATGTTTCTCTGGACTGGGGTGTGTTATTAATTAACAAAGTAATTAACAGAGTATGTAAGTGTATGTTCAGCTGTGTTGCTGTTGGAGCACGTACTGATGCACGAAGCCAGTGTTGCCTGAATACCTGATTGATTATGGGCAAGGGAGAGCAGGGGCCATCTTAGTTTGGCTTCTGCCTGCAGTTGAAGAGAGGAATGAGTGATAAAGGAAGAAGGCAAGGATTTCTCCTTATCTGCTCTCTTTCGTGTGCCTTTTCCTGTGATAATTAGCTTTATCCCCATTCCCCCACATGCTAAAACCATTGTGATTATCATTCCTCCTAGTCAAACCCTTTGCTATGAAGGAGTTGACACTAGGTTATTGTTCCTTGTAGGAAGACAAAAAAAAAGGCCATGATGGATGGTGTCTCCACACTTCTCTGTACTTACTCCTGTTTCGGACGGGTTCCTGTTTCTTACCCTGGTGCTGCTGTTAGTGTCAGCATGCTTCATTCTGCTTTATTAACAGATGTTTACGAAGGTCACATAGCTTCCATGAGTGCCTTTTTGCAGGGGCTGTGTGTGCCGCCTCTGTAGCATTGCTCAGTCCCCCACAAGGCATCTGCTCGACAGAGGTGGGCAGCTTCAAGACGGTATGTCGTTTTAAACCCTCTCACAAAGTTTTGTCTTCCCCACCCTGACAAGCTTTCAGCCCGGTCTGACTTTTACACTTACCCAAAGGTCTTTCCAGTTGGATCCTACTGGTGTCACAGTTATTTCCAGGCTCTGCTTACTCCAGCATCAGAAATTTCTGGAGACTGGGAAATCACCCCAAGTGTCTCCGATGGGTTGGAGCTAAATAACACATCCCCTGTAACCAACATGAGGCAGAGCTAACGGAGTGGTTAAGAGGGGCTTCGTGCCACGGACTCCAGGGTATCTCTGACGTGGAGGCACAGATGGTTGCTCTGAGGGAGGACTCTTGGCTGTCGGATTATTCTGGACTGCGGTAACAAAGCAGGTATCAACAGTTAGAGTTAGGTGTGCATCCTGCAGGACTGCCTCCTAATTTTTGTTATAATAATTTGTAATAATAAATAGGGTACTGATGCTGAATTTGTTGGCAATGTTTTAAGAATTTATTTAGAAACTGTAAACCAGCATAAACTCATATGTCAGGTTTTCCAAAAGGGCAGTAATAATAATAAACAACGAAGTTTTAGTCAGACCAAAAGACAAAAAGCAGTTTGTTTCCAATTCAAAAAATACAAACATTTGCTACAGGTACAAAATTATAAAAAGTTTGTATTTTCCTCTTGATCTGGTGACAGACACATACAGCAGAGATGTATATCTCACCAGTTCCAAATTCATATAAGCTATGGGGAATGACAATAAAGAAAAAAAGAACGTTGTGGTTAAGAAGAAAACACAGGAACAACTTCTCGTCTTTCATTTAACCAGAAGCAAACACCGTTATCTTATTCCTTTGCACTTTTTTGGTTGCCAACATTTAAGTTAGTGTTATTCATGCTTCATTTAACAATCAGAAATAACAGCAGGTTTACCTCATGCATTTATTTTTAATATTCATCACATAATGTCTTCTCACCATGCTACCTAGAAAGGTTAGTGTTTTTATTGACAACATTTAAGGGAGGTGGAAGATGAAGGAATGCAATCGGGATCCAGGAATATTTCTATCTACTGCTTCACAAGAAAATGTTAGAAATCCTCCAATTAGCATAAAAAATAATTTTGTAATTAATTCTGCTTGGATCCGTTTGCAATAACAAATGTAACAAAAAGGTCACTTAACAGAAGGGGAAAATGCTGCTAGCGCTTCTGTCAGTAAAACGCACGTCTGTCTCCTGTATTGTGCAAAGATGCAGGAGCCCCGCACCTCCAGTCTCTGTGCCTTGCATATGGGCTTCTGCGCCGAAGAAGACCAAGCGCGTCTTATTTATGATGGATTTGTGCTTCAGGCCACTGCTCCAGCCCGTTGTGTGTGTGTAGCGTTCAGCAGTGCTGGGCAGAGGAATTGCCAGAAATGTTGTCAGTAAAAACTAGAAGCAGCTCACTTTTTAAAAAAAATAATAATAATTAAAAAAAGAGACTCTCCATCTTTGTTTGGTAATTCTCAGTGACAAGTGCCCTTTACGTTTACAATGTGATTGATTTGTTACCATTACCTGTTGAAGGACTCGAAACTGTGATCTCCCTTCCAAAGTTGATCTAGCCAAGATGCTTGGGGTTTTCACATTATCTTGCCTGGTTCAAAGTTGAATTCTCGACTTTGCTATTTAAGCAGAATGCTGCAAAGCTGGTAAGGCCTGAGATTAGGTCTAACAATTCTCTTTCCTCACCTTTCTGTTTGTGAGCAAAGGATGTTCTAGATGGCACCAGAAAGCTGCCGTTAGCA